ATGTTTCTCTGTTGATTTGTTGCCTAGAGGTTCTGTCCAATGCTGAGAGACAGGTCTTCAGGTCCCTGACTATTATAGTATTGTGGTCTATCTCTTTCTTTAAGTCTAATCGTGTTTGCTTTATATATCTCACAGCTGTGGTTGTTGGGTGCATATATATTTATAATTGTTATGTCTTTTTGCTGGATAGATCCATTTATCATTAAATAATGGCCTTCTTTGTCTCTTTTTATGGTTTTTGGTTTAAAGTCTATTTTATCTTATGTAAGAATAGCTACTCCTCTGGTTTATGGTTTCCATTTGCATGGTATTTCTTTATCCATTCCTTTACCACTAATCTCTTTGTTTCTTTACAAATGAATTGAGTCTCTTGATGACAGAATATAGTTGGGTCTAGCATTTTAATCCAATCAGTCAGTCTATTTTTTTTGGGTGGGGAATTTAATCCATTTACATTTTGGGTTGTTATTGAAAGGTATTGTCTTACTCCTGATATTTAATCAATTTTCATTTGGATGTTTTAAATATCTTTTGTTCTTTTCTCCCCTTTTATTGTTTGTCTTCTTTTTTTTCTTGGGTTTTTGATGTGGTAATATATAGTTTCTTTCTATTTCTCATTTTAATTTTTGTTCTACTGGTGGGTTTTGTTCTTTCTTGTGGGTTCATTGTAGTGATTACCACTTTTCAGATTCCAGATGCAGAACTCCCTTGAGGATTTCTTGTAGAGGTGGTCATGTGGTGGTGAACTCTGGCAGTTTTTGTTTGTCTGGGAAATAACTATTTCTACCTCATTTCCGAAGGATATACTTCCTGGGTGTAGTATACTTGACCGTCAGGTTTTTTTTCTTTTAATATTTTGAATATGTCATTCCATTGCCTTATGACCTGTAGAATTTTTGTTGAAAAGTCTGCTGTTAATCTAGTGGGGGCTCCCTGATGGGTGACTTTTCACTTTACTCTTGCTTCTTTTAAGATTCTCTCTTTGTCTTTGAGCTTTGCCAGTTTGACTATAATGTGTCTTAGAGAGGACCTTTTTGGATTGAATCTGGGAATCTTTGAGCCTCCTGGATCAGAAGGTCCATATCTCTCCCTATACTTGGAAAGTTTTCCACTATTATTTCATTAAATAGGTTTTCAATGCCTTTTCCTTTCTCTTACACTTCTGGAACACCCATAATTTGAATGTTTGTGTGCTTAAGGTTGTCTGCTAACTCTCTTAGATTTTCTTCATTTTCTTTGATTCTTTTTCCTTTTTTTTTTTTTTTTTTTTTTTATGTGGTGGTGAACTCTGGCAGTTTTTGTTTGTCTGGGAAATAACTATTTCTCCCTCATTTCCGAAGGATATACTTCCTGGGTGTAGTATACTTGACCGTCAGGTTTTTTTTCTTTTAATATTTTGAATATGTCATTCCATTGCCTTATGACCTGTAGAATTTTTGTTGAAAAGTCTGCTGTTAATCTAGTGGGGGCTCCCTGATGGGTGACTTTTCACTTTACTCTTGCTTCTTTTAAGATTCTCTCTTTGTCTTTGAGCTTTGCCAGTTTGACTATAATGTGTCTTAGAGAGGACCTTTTTGGATTGAATCTGGGAATCTTTGAGCCTCCTGGATCAGAAGGTCCATATCTCTCCCTATACCTGGAAAGTTTTCCACTATTATTTCATTAAATAGGTTTTCAATGCCTTTTCCTTTCTCTTACACTTCTGGAACACCCATAATTTGAATGTTTGTGTGCTTAAGGTTGTCTGCTAACTCTCTTAGATTTTCTTCATTTTCTTTGATTCTTTTTCCTTTTTTTTTTTTTTTTCTGTCTGTCTGGGTTATTTTGAAAAGACTGTCTTCAAGGTCAGAAATTCTTTCTTCTGCTTGCTATAACCTGCTGCTTAAGCTCTTGGGTGTGTTTTTTATTTTGTTGAATGAATCCTTCAATTTCAGGATCTCTGTTGTATTCTTTTTTTTAAGGCACTAATCTCTTTGTAAATTTCCTCCTTCATACCCTGGATGCTTTTTCTTATTTCATTGTGTTGTCTGAATCTTCTTGTATCTCACTGAGTTTCCTTAAGGTTGTTGCTCAGAATTCCTTTTCAATCATTTCAAGGGTTTCCTGCTCTATGGAGTCTGGTACTTGAGAATTACATTCCTTTAGTGGTGTCATATTTTATTGTTGTTGTTGTTTTTCTTCTTATTTCTAGTCTCTACATTGATGTCTGGTCATCTGAGAGAACAATTGCCTGTTCTGTTATCTTTAAGTGGGATTGAGGAGAGATACTTCCTCTTGTAAATTTTTTTATATTGACCACTGAGTAGGGTGTTTAGTGTTTTAGTATTAGTTCCAGGTAGACACACTAGTGTAGTCTCTGTGTGGGTACTTCAGCTATATTCAGTATTGGAGTTGCATGTGGGTGCCTCCATAGCCAAGGCCCTGGGAAACTTAGTGATTCCTTGCCAACGTTAGTGACACTATGTTGGTTAATTGAATATGTGGGCAAGCTCTTACATTCTTGGGAGAAGTGCCTTGGTGCCCAGTCACTCTTTTACTGGGATGGATGACCCTGGGAAGGCTTGCTGGCACTCCAGCTAGTGTCTTGTGACCCTGATGGGTGCACTGGGTTATACTGGTTATACTAGAGTTCCTCAGTTTGAATGCATGACACTTGGTAGGGTTTCCCTTTCCTCTTTCCTATTGTCAGAATTTCCTCCTGGGTCTTTGCTTCTCCTGGTTGAGGGATGATTTGATGGTGACTGGGAATTTCTTCCTTACTCTATTTGGTATTTCCATTCTTGGGGCATTCTGCCTATGTCTCTCCCCAGATCAAGGCAGTCATGTGGGCTGTGCACATACCTTTCACACCTAGGTGTGCTACCAAGTGTGGCAGTGTAATTCCCCTTGTGTGTTGAGCCACTGGGTCACAGGTCTGTGCTCACTCACTGGTTTCCCCAAGCTCTGCTGGTGAATCTCCTTGTGTCAATGTACTCAAGTGGTCAATGGGTCACCTGCATGATGGAGGTGGCTTCTGCTGTGCTGCCAAGCTGCCCTTGCAGCAGAAGTTGCTGTGGTGATGGCTGTGGTGGACCATAAACACAGCAGCAGTGTCTGAGGTTCTTGTGCATGCTTCCTGCCTCCACTCAAGTGGTCAATGGGTCACCTGCATGATGGAGGTGGCTTCTGCTGTGCTGCCAATCTGCCCTTGCAGCAAAAGTTGCTGTGGTGATAGCTGTGGTGGACCATAAACACAGCAGCAGTGTCTGAGGTTCTTGTGCATGCTTCCTGCCTCCTCCCAGTCCATTTTGTTTCTATAAGCTCTGTGAAGGAGACTGCAGTTCCCTGGTTCTCCTGTGGATTGAGGGGTTGGCATAGGCTGTGGGTTAAGATCTCTGCACTCAGGTCTCTGGGCCTCATCTGCTACTATCTTTGGAAACTTCTTTATTTATTTTTAACTGCATAAATGAACAACAGAAGTGTTGAACCTATGGCCTTTTTGTTCATCTCTTCTAGTTCTTTTGTCATTTTTCAGTGTTGCAGCCTTTGTATCAATATGACTTCTGCTTCTAATCTACTTTAGGTTTATACAGAACTCTAAATTGATGTTCCTGTGGGTGGTTCTAACCTTTTCTACAAAGTAAAAACCACAATAAACTTCAAAACTTTAGGTGAGCTTTCTGTATGGGCTCTATGGTATTTATTAATCTCTTCTCTTTTGCTTGCTTCTGGGTTTTACATCTATGTTCTGGCTGATGTGGATCTTTTTTGTTTATAATTTCAAAGTATTTTAATCAGTGTCCACTTTCTGAATTGCCCTGAGATATTATAAAATATACCTTGCTTTACCTGTAGGTTGCACAATTTTAAAAACTTTTTAATTGCTGTTTTAATTTTATCACTTAATAAAAATTATTACAATTTGTCATCAGTTTTGAGAACAACCTAAGATGCAATTAAGTAGTAAATGATACAAACCTTATATGGGACATGGATGGATGTTTACACTATGCATCTTAGATTTCTACCAAATAAAAAAAATAAATTCAGTTATTTGCTAACATTAAATAATCATGTGTAACTTCCAGATTTCTTAGTTTTTACTTTTTGTTTTTATGATATGCCTTTAGACATTCATATTGGATATTTTGTGTCAATTTTAAATTCCCTAAGAGTACAAAGCCTCTATCTTTACATTATCTTACTTGATTTCATTTATTGGAGCAATCAATGGAGATGACAGTAATTTACATTCTAAAAATAGAATGGGCTTTATTTTGACTCCTTAATTTTTTGACCTCTTTTTTTTTTTTTGGCCCTCAAAAGAAACATTCTAGTGGTTATAGTTGTATGATAATCTAATTAAAATTGCATTATTACAAATCTTTCAATTTAATATCACTTACAAAATACTAAAAATACTTCAGATAAGTTGGAAAAGCAAAAAATAGTATAAAGACAATTCACTCAAAACAATAATTGAGAAAACTTGATCAAATATTACTAATGCATTATATGCAAATAAAATATTATTCTTTTAAAGATGGGAGTTTTTGTTTTGTTTTAGATTTTTGATCTTATGATTCAAACTCAGTTTCAGCTCTTCTACTGTGAATAGTTTTAGATCAAACCTGTTCTTCTTGGAGCAGGTTAGGATGCCTTTTGCAGGACATTGCTCTATGGGAAGAATGGAGGGGAGGGATGTCGTAGTCGCCTCCTCCTTTATTCTGACTCCATAAAATGCAAAGGCAGCTCGTGAAAATATCTGATGATTTCTACCAAAATTTAAGTGCATTACTTTTTAGGAAATAAGTGCTACTTTTAGATTTAATTATTAGAATTTAAATTTATTAATGATGGATAGTAATCCGTATTTTAGAAAGAAATTGGGAATGTTTAACCCATGTTTTAGGACTTTTGTGTAAACTATTGTATTGTTTTGCTCTGTGGACAAAGAAATTGCCTTTATTTTTTCAGGAAATTGTGGCTGCAGAGAAGAAGAAACAGACTGTTGCAGAGCAAGTGATGACAGACCAGTTATCTAGGTGAGAGTTAGTAACTGGTAATACAGAGTTCATTAATGTTCTTTTTTTTTTCATGCATGACAACCACATCTTCGGTCAATCAATGAGTAGCTAACTCAGAAGTTCCCAAACTTTCTCTGTTAACTTTATTTTTAGTGTTCGAGTAATTCCTTCACAGCACTCTCAGACTAATAGAAATACCTAATGGTTCTATTTATTAAGTACTTTTGTCTAAACCACTTAAGTATTTACTTCCTGACAACTTCATGGCCATTTGAAAAAATAATACACATAAATTGAAAGAAAATGTTTTTATTTTATTCTTATTTACTCATGGGGTGTATGTGTCTTTTGGGCATTGTGGTTTTTCTCAAATCTTAGAATCAATTAGGATGCTGCCACCCTCAGGTTCTATTCTACATTGATTTTCACATGGTATTTGCTTTTTATCACAGCAACTATAAAAGACCTAGCTTTGTAAAGATGTAACATCATTGAAAGAGTATAGCATAATATCTTGTTGACACTGCAAACCTCGAGCAAGTGGTTTACATGGTGTCTAAGAGATGACAAGTATTACTGTGTTTTCCTCAAAGATTAAAAATGTTCTCCAGTGACCCTGTGAGTTCACTGTGGTATCCCAAAATGACTTGGTACACTCTGAGAATAGTGAGACCACTGTCAAGAATTTTAAACCCCCTTAGAAAACTATATAAAGTTTTAACACATATAGTGTTTGACAATATAGAAATATGGTAGGATTTCAGAAGAGGCTGGAATAATCTAGGAAGTCCTCAAGAAAAAAGTAAAACTTAAGTTTATTTTTGAAAAAATTGGTTAGCTATGTGGCAGAGAGAAAAAAATGATACTTTATATGTGTGTTATCCAGTAAATTCTTTCAATTAACTATACCTGGAGTCTCCAATGTATCTCCTTTCCATTATATTATGGAATTACTTATGTTTTCATCTCCACCATGCCACCACAACTTTTCTTAAGAAAATAAGTAGTGACATCGATATTGCTTGACCAATGGTGATTTCTCAGTTCTCATCTACCGACCCATCAGCAACATCTGTCTCAGCTGAAAACTTTCTTCTCTTTGAAACACTTTTCCTTTTCCACTGGGATTCCTGAACTCTCACTTGACTGTTTTCCTCCTATCTTCCATTCCTTCTCAGTCTCTTCTGGTTCTTCATCTCCCTAGTCATTAAACATAGAAGTGCCCAAGGGCTCAATTCTTGGACCTCTTCTGTATTTGCTTCCTAAGTGATATTATCCCTACCATGCCTTTAGAAACCTTGTAGATCCTGATGCCTTCCTAATCTAATATTCCAATTGAACACATTCCAATCTGGATTCCCGAAAGTTCATTGCCTTCTCTCCCTTAATAACCAAATCCTCTTTAATTTTCCTCTACAAGTTATTTAGATCTGAGATCCTGATGATGCCTTTGATCCCTCTTTATCAAATCCTATATCTAGTTTGTTAGCAAATGCTCTCAGTTCTACCATCAAATAAATTTACCCTCTCTGCTGCCACCATCCCTGTCCAAACCATTATCTTTTGTTTCCTGGATTATTTCAGTCACTTCCTAACTTGTCTTGTTGTGTCTGCATTTGCTTCTTATTGTTTTATTCTCAACCCAGCAGCCAGAGTTAATCTATTAAAAGGCAAGTCAGATCAAACCCTCCAGTATTTCCTGTCTTAATTATAGTAAAATTTATAAGGCCTATATATTGGTTATGTGTCACCACAAAACCTGCTAGCTTAAAAACAACCATTAATTTTGCTCATGTTTCTTTAGGTTAGCTGTCCAGGCCAGGCTTGGCTGAGTGGTTCTTACTTCTTATTTACTTTGCCCAGTTATATATGAGAAAAAGCAATGGTCTGAGTTCTTAGCTTAGGCCTTAAGAGACCTCACGTGTTTCTATTTGGCCTTTTGTGCTTCTGCGGTGTCTGAGAGAAGAGCCCACTAGTCTCAAGAAAAAGATACCTGTACAAATGCAGCGGGGCTACTTAACTCAGATCATCTTAGATCAGGATTCCCAGCCAAGCCCCACTTGCATAAGTTAGTTCAGTTGAGATCAGCAGAGCCATATAGCTGTATATAATTGTCTATATAGCAAATCAAATGGCTAAGCTTAAGATCAAGGGGTGAGAAAGCACACTCTACCTGTAATGGGCCATAGAAAGAATGTGGATCAGGAGTGCTGAAAAAGTTGGGGCCAATAATAGAGTTTATCCCTGCCCACCATTTGACTTTGGACTTGTCTCCCTCTTGTCCACTCTGCTCCAGCCATTTGGCTTGCTCCTTGTTCTGAAACATACCAGATTCCATTCATATCTTATGTACTTTGCAATTATTTTCCCCTGTGCTTGGAGTACTTTCCCCTAGATATCCATGACTGCTTATTCATTCACTCATACCTTTACTTAGAAGTCACCTTGGTGAGGCCTACCTTGGTTACCAAATAAAAACAAAGTTTATAACCTCTTACTCCAAACTTCATATCCTCTTACTACTTCATTTTTTCCTCCATAGGACTTACCAATATATAATTTACCTTATATTTTCTGTATGTATCATGTTAACTATCTGTCTGCCTCTTCAGAATATGAGCTCCGTGAGGGTTAGGCTGTTTGGAAGTTTTGTTCATTGTCGTATTCTCATTGCTTAGTATGGTAGCTGTACAGTAAATACTTGTTGAATGGGCAAATGAATGAATGAACTGGAGAAGAGAACCTAATTAGAGTCAGCAAAACTGGATTTTAAGATTATCTCTGTGATTAACTCATTGTTTGAGCTTTCATATTTTTCTTCCTGTCTTGATTTTTGCCTCTGCAAGATGAACATTAAGGTTCCTTGTAACTCTAGCTTTCTATGTATGTATATTTGACATAGAACTGATTGCTAATGTGTGAGAATAAAATAGTTTGCCGTGTTTTGGTAAATGTTAGCGTTTTTCACTTTGAAAATTAAAAAAATTTAATGCTCAATTTTAAAAGAAGATTTGGTTTATAACTTGACACAACAATGAATGAGATCTACATATGTGGTTGAGATGCCTAAAGCTTTTAATGAATGTTCTAGCAATTATGACTCAATAAATTCATAAGTTCTTCTATCTCTGAATTGCTTTTTCACGTTCATATTTTTAAAGGCTCATCATACCTTTTTAAAAAATGTCAACTCATTTATTGTTTTAGCCAGTCAATCATCAAATTCATTCAGACTTGGTTATTGCCCAGCAAGTAGAGAAAAGCCAGAGAGGGCAAGATTATTAAGGGTTTATGGAAGTTTATATTTTGGTGAATCATGGAATCTGAGCTAGGTAAGGAGAAAGAAGAGGATATGAGGATAGCCTTCCTTTGCTACCCTTAAAATACTACTACTAGTACTAGTTCTATTACTACTACTACTACTACTACTACTACTACTACTACTACTACTACTACTACTACTACTACTACTACTACTACTACTACTACTACTACTACTACTACTACTACTACTACTACTACTACTACTACTACTACTACTACTACTACTACTACTACTACTACTACTACTACTACTACTACTACTACTACTACTACTACTACTACTACTACTACTACTACTACTACTACTACTACTACTACTACTACTACTACTACTACTACTACTACTACTACTACTACTACTACTACTACTACTACTACTACTACTACTACTACTACTACTACTACTACTACTACTACTAGCAAACCCAAACCACAACATGACTCTCATGTTCTTTACTTTATTAATGGAATCTCCTTTCACATTGTAGGGTTATTATAGATCTTTCTACTTGATGACCTCAAATCCAGTTAGTTTCCTAGTTCTGTCAGTGTTTCTTAAATCTGTTCTCTCTACTACATCTGTTTCTACTGCCACCTTAGCACAGCCCCTTACTATCTCTTTTCTAGCTTACTGCATGCCACCTGATAGGCTGTCATGACTCTGTATTCATTCATATTCGGTAGAATATGTAGTAAAAGGGGAATGGGAAGGTATAGTCTCAACTATTGAACTTCTATAAAACTTATTAGATGATAGGTGCTCTCCTAAACAATATGTATATATTAACTAATTTATTTAATCTTCACAGCAATTCTTTGAGGATGGTACTGCTATTGTCTCTTTTATAAATAAGAAAACTGTGGCCTGGAGTTTTAAATGACTAGCTAAGGCCATGCAGCTAATTATGGCCGGAGGTAAGGACTGAACCCAGGCAGTCTAGTTCCGGAGTCTGTACTCTCATCCACTACACTGTATGCAGTTCCTCAAGTGTGCTGTGCAGCCCCACTTCTGTGGCCTTGCAGATATTGTTCCTCTGCTTGTGATATCCTTACTGCTTCTCCTCTAGGTGCTAACTTCTATTCACATTTTGAGAATCAGTGCAAACATTTCCTCTTCTGAGATGATGGCTTTGATGAACTCTTCTCTATGTCTTCTTTTCCAGGACCTAAGTTATCCTTGTTAATGTGTGCCCATTGAATTTCTGTTGTGGCACTTATTACTTTTATATTCTTATTTTACTTCGTCTGTGTCCACCCCTCCTCCCATATCATCGGAAATCAGCATAGTGTCTATTTGTTTAAAGAATAGTAAAAGGAAGACATGAAGCTCTTAGCTATCTCCAATATTTAAATTTATTTTTAGATAATACTAATGGAAAAACAGATAGGAATATTCACTTATTCATGGTCAGCATTTTGTATTCATATCTGATAAAAAGATTATTCTGACAGTAGTATAAATTTTTATTTGGTATATGATTTTTTTCAACTGCTTATAAATATGTGAATGCTAGAGCAATGCAATATTACATTTGTCAGACTTTGTGTTTTTCTTGTATAGGGCTGTAATCAGTGATCCAGAACAAAATTCAACCACTGAGAAACAAGAAAGTGCTCATATCCTCCCAGATTCAAAGTTAGCACCACTTCGATTTAGGAAAAGAACACTACATGAAACAAAGTAAGATTTTAATTATATAAAATGAGGATGTGCTATGTTATAAATATATTTTTAAAATGTACTTCTGCATTTAATTGGAAACTTTTTGTGTTTGTGTTTGCTATTTTTCTATATGCTGAAAAGTGGAATTTTTGGAGTTCACATCTTAGTTCTGTCACCTTAAGGTACTGGGGACAATACTTCATTCTACTGTCTTTGCCACCCAGGTTTTTTTTTATTTGAAATTTAGGGAGAAAAGCCACAACCTTCAGATCAGAGATAATATATCTTAAAATGTGTAATATAGTAAATAAGACATTTGTATGTGTACAATATATTCTGGCTAAATCTCATTTATATAGTAAAAATTAGTACTACTTATAAGTTTTTTGTGTTTTTGTGTGTGTTTTACTTTGTAGCCTATAAAACCTTTGGGTTGGTATGGACTTTTACAGTCCTCTGGTGCTGTCCACTTAAATTTCTCAACAACTTACTGACATGTAGCCTAAACTTAAATAGGCATAAAAAATCTACTAGTATCTATAGTTGCTCCTTTATATTTTCAGACTGCTGTAATTGTTAGTACTTTCTTATCACTTTTACCTTTTTGTCTCATTCTTATTTTCTGGAAGCCTTTGCTTCCATACATTTAAATATTTGAAGGCATCGTGTATTAGTTTCCTATTGCTGTTGTAATAAATTATCACATACTTAGTATTTTAAAACAACGTAAATTTATTCTCTTACAGCTCTGGATATCAGAAGCCTAAAATCAAGGTGTCGTCAGGGCTATGTTTCTTCCAGAACTTTTCTTGGCTTTTGCAGCTTCTAGAGGTTGTCTTCATTCCTTGGCTCCTGGCCCCTTCCTCTATCTTCAAAGTCAGAAATGGCTGGTCAAGACTTTCTCATGGCACATCGCTCTGACACTCTTCTGTAGCTACATGTCCCTCTGCTTTCCTCTAATACAGATGTGTGATTGCCTGAACCTACCTGAGTAATCCTGGTAATCTCTTCATCTTAAAATCCTTAACTTAAGATATGTCACAACCCTGTTATCATTTAAGGTAACATAGTCACATGTTCCAAGCCCTAGGATGAAGACATTTTGGGGGTGGTGGGGGCCACCATTTATCTACCACACATCTAAACTTTCCTTTTTTAAAGTAAACTTTTACTGACATAAAGAAAGTAAACTTTTACTGACATAAAACATACATTTACAAAATATGCCAACTGTAAGTATTCAATATAAGAATGATCACAAACTGAACAGTATTCACGTACCAAACTCCTAGATCTAAAGTAAACTTTTACTGACATAAAACATACATTTACAAAATATGCCAACTCTAAGTATTCAATATAAGAATGATCACAAACTGAACAGTATTCACGTACCAAACTCCTAGATCAAGAAACAGAACATTGCCTGTACCTCAGAAGCTCTCCCCTTGTGCTGAATCCCATTAACTATCCATTTTTCCTGCCTTTTCAGGTTCACCTCTCTATCCTAACATCATAAATTAGGTTATGAACTTTATATAGGTGAAATAAAAAATTTGGACTCTTTATGACTGGCTTTTGTCACTCAACATTGTGTTTGTGAGTTTTGTCCATTTTTTTTCCCCGATGGCACTAGCCTCATAGCATCACATCTTTCTGGTTTTTCACATGAATATCAAGGAGCCGAAGGTTTTTTTTGTTTTTGTTTTTGTTTTTTGGCAAGTGGCTGAATTCTTGACCTTGGTGTTATAACACCATGCTCTAACCAACTGAGCTAACTGGCCAGCTGTTTTTGGTTGTCTTCTTCTTCTTTTTTTTTTTTTTCTCATTGCTGTATAGTATTTCATTATATAAGTATACCACAACTTATACATTTGGCTATTTAAAAATAGTGATGCCATGAACTTTCTGTGCATGCCTTTTGGTGAACATATGTCCTCATTTATGCTGGGTACATACTTAGAATTACTGGACCATTTGGTATGCATATGTTCAACTTTAAAAGATACTGCCAGATAGTTTTCCAAACTGGCTGCTGCAATTTACACTCCTACCAGTAGCAGTTTGAGGGTCCTAGTTAAAACACGTCTTTGCCAATGCTTGGTATTATCTGTATTTCTCATTTTAGTTCTTCTTCTGGATGTGTGTTGGTGATTTTAATTTGCATTTCACTAAAGAATAATTTATATTGGCCATATAGATATCTTCATATGAAATTCCCATTCAAGTTTGTTGGGTTGTCTGTCTTTTTCATGTTGATTCATTGGTCTTATTTATATATTTTGGATGTGAGTCTTTCTCAAGCTATATTTGTTGCACATATCTTTTCCCACTCTGTAGTCACCTTTGCATTCTCATGGTCATAACTTTTTTAAAGGCCAGTTTATCAATCTTTCCCTATTTGTTAAGATTCTTTGTATTTTTGAGAAATCTCTGACTACCATAAAGTCATTAATTAAGGGCACTTATGTTATATGTCAACTAGTTATAAATGCATGGCTGGTTTCTAGGCTTTTCAGTCTTATCTATCTGTATCGCTGCACCAATATTACCCCATCTTAATCAGTATTGCTTTATATTAGAGTAAATAATAAAGCAGCTTGTTTAAAGCTAATCTAGTTCCATGAAAAATCCAGTGGGGGTATTGATTAGAATTATTGGATTTATAGCTTTCACAAATTCACAAATTCAGAAGCAGAAATTGGTATGTGTAGTGCAGTCCTTCCTCTCCTCTGTCTCATGGGAGGCATCTGCCTGCCAAAGCACACATACTGCCCTGTGCATTGTAATGAGTGAGTTAGTCTGTTTATTTATGGTTAGTGTTAAGAACTTAGCTTGTTGTTGTAGCTTACCTAAGCAATGGTTTCTAACAGCTTTATCGATAATAAAATTCATCTTTTGGTCTTCAATCTGCTTGATTCTTCTTTCTGTATTGGTTAGGAACTTGGGAAGAGAGAAGTATTTGTGTTGTTTATTGGGCACCTAAAACTCACTTTGCATTTTATAATGTAAATGTTTATTTAGTTTTTTAAATATTTTCAAAAAGACTGTAGGGGCCTTCAACTTATCACCGTTAAAGTGAGTTCTGTTCACCATTAAGAAGCAATACAATATAATGGTTAAAAACAAGGTTTTTTCTAGTTCTGCCATTTACTAATCATATGGCCTTGGGCAAATTGCTTTTCTCTGATTCTGTAAGCTTTATTTGTAAAAAGAGGATAATAGTGTTTACCTCAGAGTTATTACAAGCATTAAGTAAAGCAATGCACATTAAAGTACTAATCATATGGCCTTGGGCAAATTGCTTTTCTCTGATTCTGTAAGCTTTATTTGTAAAAAGAGGATAATAGTGTTTACCTCAGAGTTATTACAAGCATTAAGTAAAGCAATGCACATTAAAGTTATTTTAACAGTGACTAGTGTCTAAGAAGTTCTCAATAAATGGAAGCTGTTATTGTTGCTGTTATTTTCTCAGCATTTAGAATTGTTCCAGGCACATAGTGGACATTCAATAAACACATTAATAGTGGTGGATTAAATTGAATTGAGAGGACTAAGCTTTCATGACTCTATTCACAAACTCATTTAGTTTGCAGGCTCTTGCTTTCATTTAGTTCCTGTCTCCTGTTTCCTTTTTTGCAGATACCTAGATTTTATAGAGGTATAGCTTTTCAAGATAGTCATGACCTACACACTTAATTACTATTTACATTATTGCTATTTCATTATACCTGCAGTTTTATGGGGGGAATATCATAAAATTATTTGGCTAGGGAAGTAAAAATACATTATTGAATCTTCAGATCTCTTAATATTAGTATGTAAATAGAGGAGATTATCAGTAGTAGGATGCCGAAGTGTGTGCATTTGGGTTTTGCTTCATATTGTTAGACAGAATTTTAGGGCTGGCAGTCTTTATGAGGTCATTCAGTGCTGACTGAAGGCACTAACAATTAAATAACTGATTAACATATGCCAAGGTTCAAACTTTATTCAGCTAAGTTTTCCACTATTCCGTGATTTTGGTAACTGAAAACCTGACTGACAGTGGCTTAAAGAAGTCAGAATTTATTTTTCTTGTATAACCAGTTGCTTGGAGGTAGGCAGTTGTTGGTTTTGGTTCAGTGATTCAGTGATGTTACAGCTCTGGGCTGTTTTTCCTAAATCTTATTGACCTTTCTGATGTGGTTGCATGGTGGTTATAGTGCCTCCTAGCGTGATATCACTGCCACATTCGCAGGCAGGATCTCTTCCCATGCCACTCTTATCAGGACAAAAGAAAGTCTTCCCTGGAAGATTATTGGCAGAACTGGGTCCTTTAGTCACCCTTCATGGCAGGAGGCTAAGGAAGCAACTTCTATAAGTGAGAGGGAAGCCAAGGAGAAGAGGGTTGGAAGTGGGTTTTAAGTAGCCCTGCAACAGTACCAGTCACAAGTGTGCTGGTTCTTTTCAATATTTGCTTTTATAGCACTTTGATGGTATAGATTCTAACATAAAAGTCACTATGTATTATATACTATATCTCAGAGTTATTTCTTCTGTGTGTGCTACAATTAAAAATCTGAAAAAAGAAGTTACGTACCTTCATCTTT